TAAGTTTTATCTCCCAATGGCCAGTTRGGTATAGCAGACTTGAATTTGTCAGTTAGATGATTTTACCAAACATGAGTCCTATTACTACTTGATTGATCATTTTACTTACCTCTTTCTGTCACAGGGATACCATGAGAATTCATTAGCTAAGTCTTTTTATAGATCATTAGAGGTGGGAAGTGTGGGATGTTGCTATTACTTTTATTATTATCATCATTATTATTATTGAGTGAAGAATATGGAAAGTCAAACAAAACATCGTGTGGTTCAGGGACAAGGATAGAAAATACCACTGGAAAAAAAGAAGAAGGTCATCCCATCATTTAGAGTAAGACTGAAGGGCAATGATCACACTATTTCAGAAAGAGCTCATCAGAAATAATCCCCCTTTCTCCACTTGCCCTTCTTCTGTTCCACACACATTCCTTCTGGGGGATGGGGAAGGCGGGCTCTGCATCCTTGTCCTAATTCTAGCGGATTATTTTGCTCAGAGGAAGTTCCTTCATCTCTCCATGCAATTGCTCCTCCTGTGAGAAAAGGACAGCATTTCCTGCCCTAGAGCACCACTGCAACTTGCAGGAGGAAGGAGATGCGTGAGACAAATCCTTACAAGTGTCTCTTTTGATCAGACAACACCACCAACCCTCCCCATGTTTTGAAAGGTTTTTCCAGAGCCTCTCCACCTGCTCCAAGCATTGGGATGGTGATTGCAGGCTCTTATCTCTTGGGGTGCTGTCCAAGGACAGGAACAGGTCTGGTAGCATCTCCTGGTCTCCTCAGAAGATAAATATTTGAGCAATTAAAAAGATAGCAGGAAAGAAGGAATGAAACTTTAAAATGATGGGGAAAAGCTCCAAATGCTGAGGCAAAGGTCATGCCAAGGAAGTAAGAGAAGCAAAAGGAAACACGTCCTTTCAGCTGAGGGAGGGAAAAGCTCCTCTCYGTCCCCTTGGATCAGTCTGAGATAATAAGGCTGCTGCCTTCCTGATTAGTGCTCTGTAGCCCCAGCCCAGGGAGGGAAAATCTGCATTTCAAATGGCATATTTTAAAGTACACAATACCCAGGGGCCCTGCTGCTATTGATTTGCCTCTGGTGGGKTCACTGCCTCACTTTCTACAGCTTTATTAACTGGGACCATGCACTGGGTCTCTTTCAAAGAGAAAGAAGAGTGGATGGGACATTTGTCTTCAGGGGGAGCTGGGGAAGGACTGGGGTGACTTTCATTGGGAATGCCCTGGAGGTTTTAGAAGGAACACTGGTGACCCTTACAGGACTTGGTCTCCTTCTGCAAATTTCCCTAGAGCCACCCTGGGGGGGAAGGAGGTAGGTCTTAAGCTGTCAGCTTCTCTCAAGGTGACTGAGTTCTGTCCCCCACCCTCGTGATGCTGTTGCTCTCAGCCAAGCTCTGACCATCAGCCACTGAGCTGGGCAGGAGTTCCTCCCCTTTAACCTTTGCTCTGGAGCATCTCCAACCACAGTGGGAAGGGCATGAATGGGATCTGTGACCTCAGAAGTGTGGCAGGAAGGTTCTCAAGAGTTGAAATGTCCAGACATTCCCGGAACATGGCTGAGGACGCCTCTCCAGCCAAGGAAGCAAAGCATTAGCAGGGGTACACAGTTGTGTTGAGGTGTGGGATGTTCTCCTCCTCCCAGCCCCAGGCAATCCCACTTTTACACTGTGGACAAGCTCTGAAGGCTGCAGTGAGGTCTGTGGCCTCTTGGCTGTGATGTGTAGGGCTCCAGCTCATTTCAGCATGCCAGAGGGGTTTCCAGGTCTCCAGGGTATCTCAGAGAGTGCACCCACAGAGCCCTGAGCATAACAGAAATCTCTGCATGAGAGTGACTGTTCTCTGCAGATGCCTGTTGAAGCACCTGATCTGGTTTCCCAAATCACAGGTTTGGACCTTATTTTTACACCATTAACCTTGTAACCCAAAGCTAAAYTTAACCTCTTAACTCCTCAAGGTCCTAATTTTTTCTCTATGGGAGTATTAAAACTCTCTATGGGAGTTTTAAATGACTGCTCCACTGAAATCCACAGACCCTGCACCTTCAGCACAGATCAGATCAGGATCATCTAGTTCTTCTCTCAAGGAGAGAGAAAACACCTTCTTCTTTCCAAAAACCTCTAACAGAAGGGCATAAATGACATTACACTGCAAAAAGCAGGATGCCCATAGTGAAGGCATATTCTGCAATCCTGCACCTTCCGGGCAAATTTAAAATTTTTGCACAGGAAGGGACACACTGAGGCTGCCTGATTTCCAAACCCACCACTGCTAACTCTGAACAGCTCAGAGACATCCATCAACAAGAGAAGAAGTTGCATAAACCACAGTTAATGCCCCAAGGGATGGTCCAGCTCTGCTGAGTGCAAAGTGGAGGCTGTCTTTGGAACAGTGCAGTCATTTGCACTGCCACTGAAAATGCAGCAGCTTTTTGGATGGAGCTGTGTTTGTCAGAAGCACAGGTTAAACACAAAAAATAAGATTAACATCTTTCTTTTAAATGGATGTGAACCAAGACCCAAAAATACCTGCTGAGAGCCAGGTAAGGGATGGGAAAGATTTCCTCTGTCTGTGTTGKTAGGTGCAGCTGAGCCAATCACCTGAGACTCCACATGCAGACAACAGGCAGAAACAAAGCTGAAACTGTCCTCAGCCCTTGAAACTGCATCAAATATCTCARAGAGGTTTCTTTGGCCTGCAGAGATTCTGTAGTCACAGATCTTGGCCATCGTTTCTGCAACAAACCAGTTGCATCCTTGTCTGTCTCCATGTTGCCTGAAATCAAAAGACAAAAACTTTTCCAAACAATGTTGAAGTGGTAAGATAAAAAGCAATTTAATGAAAGCTTTCAGCTGCACAGAAATTATTTTTCTTGAAAATAAGACTAAACAGAATTTCAGGCATGTGGCACAGTTACTGCTCCAAAGTGTGAAAAGGGGTAAGGAGCTAGAGGCCGTAAAACTATGTATTAAMAATCTACAAAGCTACAAACATACRGAAAATATGYTTAAAAAGCCCAAAAAAGTCTTTAGGYATCACCCAGGTAAAAACACGCTGAACAGAAAATGAGATGTGAGTCAGCACACCCAATGCTGGAGTCAATACAGTGTTGGAGATGGATGGATTCCCCTTCYTCCTTCATTTCCTTGGCACACTTTCTAATATCACCTGCTCAGCACCTCTTCTGGAGAATAAACTCAAACGATACCCAGGAACAAATGCACTCCTTAAAGGGGAATCAACATAATGTATAATAAAAAAGATTATCCAATCACTCCATCAGTAATTGCAAAGAGCAGAATATCACTAATTAAAATGTAAAACTATCTTATGCAGGGTGTAATAAAAAGGGGCAATTAACAATCAAAGGGAAAGCCACCACTTTGACACCAATCTGCATTAAGCTTCAAAAAAATAACAAYACTGAAGTCCAGTGAAACAGGTTTCACCTGTAGATCTGACTGTGTGGTGACTCAAGTATCCTGCATTATRTTTTACTGCTGCAGAAATCAAGGCAAATTTACACAACTTGTGCCTGGTTATTCAGCAGGTCAGTGTCAGAGCACCCTCTAGTTTSGACTGTTCACCATGGTGACAGGGAAAGTTTCAGCATTTGAACGAGTGCAGTGACTCCAAGGGGTCGTTTTATTGTGTATGGRCAGCTAATTTAGCTGATATTTCAATATTAAAGCGAACAGAAGAGAACAGTCTGTTCCTTGCCATGACTTTTGAGGTCTGTTGAATGCTGAGAATCATGTCCCCTGTGCTTAAAGAACACCATCAGAGGGTGATTTCCTGATGGGAGAGACAGTGAAATCACAGAGAGCAGCAAAAGWGTTCCTCCAATTCTGGAGATGCAAAGACATTACTCACTTCTAAAATCACCACAGAAAAGCATTTCTCCACTATTATCATCAAGTCACAGATTACCAGAGGMTGGGGAACGTACAGAGTGAGGTTTCTCTGCACATCTTTCCCCCACACCTCCATTTCTGGGGGTTGGACACTCAGACACACCCACCCTGTCTGGCTCTTGGTGCAGCTCCAGGGAAGGAGATAAGAGGCAGCTCCAACCAAACTGTCTCATCCCTCACTCCTGGAGCATTTTAAAACCTCTCTGCAGCCTCAGTGTGCACACAAACTGTACCTGTGTGCTGGGTTCTGAGTTTAACACAATGATAACRAATTCTGGTTTCAATGAAAGAAGCATTTCCAGAATTCCTAGCCACTCACCAGCCATCTGCTACAAAATGTTTAGCCCCAAATGCCTGAAAATGTGGCCTGGGCTGCTTATTTTTGGCTTTTTCCCTGAAAGAAGCACCATTTTGATTACTTTGTAGGAAAAAACTGAGAAAGTCAACCTCGGCGAAGAGGTTTTCCCATTCGACAATATTAGCCTTGCTAAAGAAGGGGAGCTCCCTTCTCTTGTACAGCTCTTCTGGGGGTCTCTGCTTGTATTGGAAATAGGTGCTATAATCTGCTTAGAAGTCTTGGTCATGGCTTTATTCAGTACCCAKCAGAGACCTCCTAGCAGCATAAAAAAAAAGTGATTTTTGTCAGTGACAGATGAAAAAAAAATCGCTTGTCCCTCGAGAGCTACTTTGGAGAAGGAATCCCCTCTTCCTCCCTACACTGGTCTCCCATCAGTAASCACCAGGGCTTTTCCAGGTTTTGGTGTAAGCTGTGTAATCCATGAAACCTCTCTGCTCAGGTATATCATGTTTTCTCCGTGTGAAGCCTTTTCTCTGCCTTTCTGAGCAGAGAAGGAGCTGGTGGGCTCAGGTCACAGGAGACTCCACCCTGGGGAGCACGTGGCGGTGTGGGGACCATACAGACCCCAAATTGCAGCGATGCCCTTTGCCTCCAGCCCCTGGGGTGAGAACAGCCATCTCTGGGTGTGCTGGCACCCCAGAACATCGGGATCCATCCCCCCTGGCCGGGTGCCCCGCTGGTGAGCGCGTGATGTTTTTTCGCTGCTCTCTTTGTTCCAGCTGATGCAGCAGCAAGCGGCGATCATGGCATCGGTGGCGCAGGGCGGATACCTGAACCCCATGGCAGCCTTTGCCGCGGCCCAGATGCAGCAGATGGCGGCTCTGAACATGAATGGCCTGGCAGCCGCCCCCATGACACCAACCTCAGGTAAGGGGGCAGCGGGCTGGACGGGGAAAAGGGGCAGGGAGAGCTGGGCACAGCCCACGGGACACCYGGCAGGATGGGTCAGCTCTCTGTARCCAGCTGAGGATCGGCTTCTCCTCGCAGGAATACGTGGCAGGACCAGAGGAAAGGGCCTCGAGTGGCACCAGGGGAGGTTTGGGTTGGGTGCTGGAAGTTTGTCTCTCAAAGGGTCTGTCAAGCATTGTAACAGACTGGGGCAGTGAACAAGTGCCCATCCCTGGAGTTATTTAAAATGCTGTGGGACTTAGAGACACAGTTTATGGGTGGGCAGTGCTGGGTTAAAGGCTGGACTTGATGATCTCAGAGGTCTTTTAGAACCTTAACTATTCAGTGATTCTGTGACACTTCCTTCTCAGCCTAATCCCACASACAGCATCTCTTTATCTCTGAGAACCCCCCAAAGGTCACAAAACCACCCCACAGTGACCTACACTGKGTTATGGGTGCAGGCATGTGTCAAAGGGGTCAGTGCTGCTGCTGTCCCAGCCAGACACAAACAAAATAGTGTTTGTGGTGAGATGCAATGTCATTAACAAGATGGATGTTGCCTGTGGTACACACAAACCTTTCCCCTGTTGTCAAACAGGACGGAAGTTGCTCAAGGAAGACATGTGGTGCTACCTGGAATGAAGGTGTTTGGTGAGAGGGTTTCTGGCTGCTGGAACAGAGACAGGAAGCCAGGGAAGGGCTGCCAGGATCTGTTTAGGCTGTAAGGAGCATGTTCTGGGAGCTGCAGTACATGGTTCAGCAGGCAGAGAAACAAGCTTGCGGCCGAACAGCAGCAAAGCAGGAAAAGTGTGGCCAAACCTTGAAAGAAGTGAGGATTTGGAAGGCTTTGCAATGTACCAGAGTCTGGTGGGGATGTAGAGGACTCAGAGGCACATCTTGAAAGRAGCATWTTTAAGGGRCAGGATAAAGGAGTCCTGGGGGTGRCGTGAGTTGTTCTTGTGAGAGGTGCTGGGGATGGGGCTGTTCAGAAAGGYGTGGCGCACCCATCCCCTGGTGTGAGCCTGGAAGAACACAGCTGGACAAAGATTTGGGATGAGACATGAACGGAGGGAGCTTTGCCTGAGCCAGCTGTGGTGGCAGAGCAGGGTCTGGGACTTTAGGAAGAGCACGAAAAGAAGAAAGAGGCAGTTTCACTGCTGAATAAAAAGACATCTGCACCACCCCTGAAGGGGGAAGGTGTGAATCTGACAAAGCACTCAGGAGAGGTGGGWGAGAAACCTTGGATGGCCAGGAATTAAGGCAACAAATCTTCATGGGTTTGGGGGCCTTTTCTAAAGATCTGAATTGCACTAGCCTCTCTGATTAAAAAAAAAAAAAAAAATCTCCCTGGATGCACACAGCATCTCTTTGCAATTTGTGTGTGGGCACAGTGCCAGCAGCAACTGGATCAAACCCACCTGTTCCTCCACTTGTGATAGAATTTTGGGGGGACTGGGGGAAGAAAGGAGAGTAAGCAAGACAGACCTCATTCCACACAAACTCATGGAGACCCGAGGAAAAGCACTTGACTCAAAAATCTTATACTGCACATTTCAAAATATATGTTTACACAATGATAAATGTATAAACAGAAAAGTCGATGGAGCTACTGCAAATCCAAATAAAAAAGTGGCTTAATTGTATGTGCAGCCTTTAAACCTGCTGCTGGCAAGATTATCATATTTGCATTAGCTAGATTTGTTTTGTGTTGGTGGGAGCAGAGAGAACATCAAACAAAGACTGYCTGGAATTCAAATATTGTCAGGGCCTGGAAAGCTGAATCCAGGCAGTTGGTGATGGACCCACCACAAAAGAGCACAAGCTCTTTTGAATATACATGAGTATATTCTTGAAAATGAGTGGTTTCTGTGTCATGGCTGTGAAAACACCTGTACAGCAGCCAGATTCTGTGCCTGCCATGATATCCAGCACATTAAAAATATCCCAGGTTTTTTTTGGCTGTGACCAGTGCCTTTCAGACTCATGGAATCATGGAACAATTTAGGTTGTAAAAGACCTTTAAGATCATCAAGTCTCACCATTAAGCCAGCACAGCCAAGCCCTGTACTAAACCATGTCCTTCAACACCACATCCACGTGGTGGTGGATTTAAAATAAATAAATACCTCCAGGGATGGAGGCTCCACCACTTCCCTGGGCTGCCTATCCCAGTGTTTGACAGGGTGAGGGGACTGTTTAGCTCTCACTGTCTCCTCACAGAATAGAGGAGAAACTCATGTTTTTAACATGCTTTCCGGATYACCCATGGCTGGTCATTATTGAAAATAAGATGCTGGTTTAGATGATCCTTTGATGTCTTTCACGGCAGACGATTTTGCACTCTCCTAATGACATATTTTCAATCACAGAGCCTATTCACTTTGGCATTATTGCAGATTTACCTTGAATGAGTACCTTCCTTCATGAAAAACCTCTGTGGTGGGTTGTGGAAATGTCCATTGACAATTATTCCTTAGCAGAAATGTTTAGACTTTGAAATTACTCCTTGTATTACTACAACACTCACAAAGCATGTGATAAGATGCATAGAAAATGTTTCACATTATGTCTGAGCAAGCAAGCCTACAACACTAGCAGCGATTTCTGAGTAGCCAGGAGATATCTGAAGCCTAACATTAATTCTCCTGCTGGCTTTTGTTAGCATTCAGAAAGCCAAATGGAAAATGATCATTCTGCTTCATAGCAGGATTTCTAGTCATTGAAGTATATCTTTGTTCTGCCTTGGAAGGAAAATGAAATATTTCAAAGTTCTCAGAGGAAAAAAAAAGAAAAGAAAAAAAATGGAAAGAAGAGAAGAGAAGAGAAGAAAGAGAAGAGAAGAGAAAAGAAAAGAAAAAAAAAAAAAAAAACAAAACCAAAAAAAAAACCACAGGCACTAGAAAAAGTGTTTGGAACATTTAAAAAAAAATAAAAAGGAAGTATTTTCATCTTTCCTAAGCAAAATAAAAATTGTGCTAGAAAAAAAAATTCTGGTAACCCATAAGTTCTAGAGGCTTTAGAGTTATTTGGCTCAGCACACACTGTGCTGGTGTCTTCAGGCCTCCTAATCCAGCTGGTTTTAGGGTACCCCACTCCAGGAGCAAGGGTTCCTGGTGTAGGATTGTAAGTTCATTCATTCCCATGGGACCTAGGAGCTCAGAGTTTTGAATCCAGGCAAATCGAAGGGGTGAGAGACTGTATCCATCTCACATGGCTTTAACCAGACAAAATCTGAGCTGCAGTGAGCACTCCCTGTGGGTGATTCAGACCAAGAAAATGTTAATGCTGTTTGCTGTCATTTTAACAGCCTTCCATTAAGAGTCTGGTTTATCTCAMACCACAGTCCATAATTGTGAGGCAAATAGTTTGACATTTCTGAGAATTTGGTTCAGGTTTTATATTTCTCCCATCACTGCTATAAAATCTGAGTGAAAAGTGGGTCTGGCTGTGGGTCTGCCATTCTGTTATCTGCAGAGAGGGGCTAGAAATGAGATTTCATTTAGGCTTCCTTCCCTCTTCCTCCCTCCCTCCCTCCCTCCTTCTCTCTCCATGTTGCAAATCTGCACCTGGTGTAGCTTCAGCAAGAGATCTCAAATGAGGGATGAAATCCACAACTGGCATGCACCACCACCATTTGTTTTTCCACGGTGGCATTATGCCAGTTTTACTCCAACTGCAGATCTGACATCTCCAGGGGGGTTCTTTATAAGAAGAAAATTGAAGAATTCCAATAAATATGCCTAAACTTCCTTAGACATGCACAAAACAGCGAGCACAAATCCCTTGCTGCAATTTTAGAAAAAAAAAATTATTTACATTTTCTATGCAAATAAAGGAGACATCCAGAAAAGCAACTGAAATTTTAAGTAGCCTTTGTGATTTGCAAGCTGATGGCATATGCTAAGAGCATTGCCTTTGGACTTCAGTTGCCACTGCTGGCTCCCTGTACCTCCACAGAGGACATTTTTAAAGGCCAACACCATTTAAATAAGAAAAGGGGAAGCAGCAGCTTGTCTGCTCAGGGTATAAGAAATGAGCTGAAATACTGCCTTTTTTTGGGGGGGAGCTGCTCAAATCTGAACATAATAAAACACCTCATGCATCCATAGCRGCTTTCTTAAAGCACCAACACAGATTTAAGAAGTTGTTAAAGTGTGTTATTGGACTAAACCATCATGGAATGCTGCTATGGTGAAGAAAATATCTGCAATTGGTTTAAAATGAGGTTTCTGCAGAAATGGTGCTTTCAATCAGTATATACCCTGACACAGAGAGATATTGTTGAAGATAGTTTAACTTCMCACACACACCTCACAAGAGAAAAATATTATTTCAGGCTTATTGAAAACTCATTTTTGGTCCCTAAAATCATCCTGAACATGTTGCAAGAAGAACAGACTGTCCAGTCATTTTACACAAGCATAGGAGGAGACAGTGAGGTAGCAGAGGGATTTAATTCTCTCCCCAGAAATTTAAGAACTCTCTACCAGTGGGTGACAAGATCCCAYTCAGAACATAAAGACTAATTTGTTCTTCTGAAATAGCAGCATTACAGTCCCCCACAGGATGCATCTGGTGAGGAGGAACGAAGTATGATTCCATGAAAGGAATGAATTTAGTCCAAATTTTGCCTCCGTTCTTTGGGAGATGTCTGTTAAAACTGTATGAAGTCAARTTTTGGTCAAACAGTGATATTAAAAAAAAAGTATCACTGGCTACCTTTAGGCTGTGAATAAACTTGACAAGCCTTTTAAGGATCCCTAGTGCTGAGAAAGTTCMGAATGAGTTTGCACATGAAAGGTGTGCTCATGAGAGAGTGCAGACAGAGCAGTCCTGGAAATCTGTACACCCACAGAGCTCCAAAGGGAATCTGACAGGAACTGCTGTGGAAAGCTGGGGCTGGGAATTTCTGGAGGTTTTTCATGCTTTTCTTGAGTGCTTTCTGAACAGGGGAGCAACGGCAAGCTGTCCCTTTATTTTCTCAGCAGCTCRGGATCTTTTTCATTTATTGTGGGTTATTTTTTTTTTGGCGTGCGGCGGTCACAGCCGTTGTGTCAGCAGTTTTCTCCACGAAGTCATCGTTCCCAGCACTCACCATCTCTGCCCTTGTGTCCTCCCTGTCTGCAGGTGGAAGCACGCCTCCTGGCATAACTGCACCAGCTGTGCCTAGCATCCCATCTCCCATTGGGGTGAACGGTTTCACTGGCCTCCCGCCGCAGGCTAACGGGCAGCCAGCCGCCGAAGCCGTCTTTGCTAATGGCATTCACCCTTACCCAGGTAAGCCAGACCCACCCTGTGCCCACAGCCTGCTCCCTCCGTCCTAGGGGTACTGTCCACACCCACAGGGCTTTGTCCCCAAGAGCCTGTGGCTCAGGGTCAGGAGGGTCACACCACCAGGGCTCCTCAGGGCGTTGGTGTCTCGTGTCTTACGCAGCTACAGCGTTAAACGGTTCAATCTGGATGACAAACATCAAGGGCATGTTGGAGGTGGAAAAAGTGTGTGCTGAATATTTGAGTGCTCGTCTGCTGGATAGCATGTCTGGTGAACAGTCAGGACAGCCAGCATGTTTTGCTTCAGCTGAAAATCGACCTGACTCCTGAGCAGCCCATGCTGGCAGATCCCCTGGCAGAACTCCCAAGGGTCTTGCTTCTGGTTAGCCCTGAAGGAGCTGTGCTCAGCCTGCTTGCACCCAGCACTGGTGTCTCCTGCWGGAATTCCCTGCAGCCAGAAGGCTCTGGGAGGATGATCCAAAGGGTCCACACGTCTGCTGACCCAAATGGATTCCTGTGTGCAAGGAGCAGGTGTTGGTTTCCGAAATGCTCTCTGCACACAGATCCTGCTGCCTTACCAGGCCTGGGGGTGAAGCTGAGTTAATGCAGCCCCTGAATGGGCTCGGGGTCACCTTTTGGTGACACTGCAGGAGAACTGCTGCTGGGGCTCACTCTCTGCCTGGCTTGAAGATGCCAGCACTAAAAAAGTGATTTTGCAAGCACTGACAGTCAGAGATGAATGAGAGAGGTTAAAGGGTACCTGTCCTACACCTGTATTTACAAATATACATGCAGTCCAAAGCTGTAATCACCAAGAACTCAAGAGTTCACCATTCCTTAATGCACACTAAGATTTTTTCAGTGTCCTGGAGATTTGAGATAGCCCTCTCCTCCAATACACTTCCTCTAGAAAGATGTGTTTTACCATTGCTGTACATACACTAATGCTAACAATCATAGCAATAAAAATTTAAGTAAATGTTTCTAATTGATCCTAATCACCAGCTGGCAAAGGAGTATTTTACCCTGGGGAATGGATAGATTGATCTAGTCTGTTAGGAAATCAAATACTGAGTTAGATGCTCCAGACAAAAAGAAAAAAAAAAAAAAAAAAAAAAAAAAAAAAAAAAAAAAAAAAAAAAAAAAAGAAAAAAAAAAGGTAAGAAAGAAGAATAATTTCAGTCTTAGCCAGTCCTGAAAACTCAGAAGATTCATCATCGTAGGCGATTTTATGAGCCACAAGGAAAAGTGTCACATTACATAGAAATACCAGAGTTATACCTAGATATTGACAAATAATTATCCTCCTCCCAACAAASACTTTGCAAGCATATAGTTTGAGTTCAGCCCTAAGCAGAATTAAAAGCAAAGAACTTACTGTTCTCAAAATTAGGCATGTGAATATGTGTTTCAGCAGCTTAAGGTCTGAGGAGCTTTTGGAATCTTATGAGGCATCAGAAAATTTCAGGGAGCCCTCAGTACGCTCAGTGTGCTCACCCACAGCACCGAGAAAGCCTTCTGCCCTTAAGGTTATACAAACACAGCCATCTGTTCTACTGTCCATTTATTTCAGTATCTACCTGTTTGCCAGTCAATCATCTCTCTGTTTATTCATCCATTTCTATGTCTGTCCTTTTTTTCTGKTTTTTTTAGATCCTTTTAGCTAATTTTCCATGATCCATTACCATGGCTGTCAGAGGAAAGGTGCTCTTCCTAGACGAATCTAAATGATTTCAGCTTTTGTTACTATCCCAAACTATGCCCATAATTAAAGAAGCCTTTCAGTTAGGTATTTCATCCATGGTTATATAAAAGTCAGTGGCCTTAATCTGATTCTCTCTGAGTTTGGGAGAGGCTTGCTCAGGCAGCAGTTCACAGCACAAACAGCAACAGGCTGATGCTCTGAAAGGTGACAGTCATCCTTCCCTCTTCGCTGCCGGCAGAGACTCCCTTCTGCTGGTAAAGCTGACACCCAAACAGCCTGAGCTGTGAGAAGTTTGGATTTATCTCAGTGTAACTTCAGCAGAATATTTCCCTTTCTCATTGCTCAGCTTCCCCATAACGTGGTGACACCTGAAATTATAGCAGAGGTGTAAAGGGAGCGGTGGCAGGGCAAACACTCGCCTCTCATTTTGCTTTTATCTGTCCCTGAAACATTGAAAGCAAACCCACGTGGCTTACATCATGTGTCTGCTCCATCTAATTGTGCTCCTTCTCATGAGCATTTATGCACTCTCCAAGCCTCTCCTCCTTGCCACAGGGTTTATTCAGTCCTGGAGCTTAGCAGCATAAAAAAATAAAAGGATTAGACATTTATATGGGTAATGAGAACATCCACAGCCATATTAGACTGGATAAAAATGTAGATAGGACACAGAACTTCATGCTTTATGATACAAGCCAGCCACTAATTGCTTGGGGTTAGAAAGAAATTTTCATCACTGGGCAGCTTGTTCTATCATTGTTCATTATGGGATCTTCCTCATTCTCCTCTACAGCATCTCTCACTGCCCTGTGGTTCTGCATGGCTCTGTCTCTAAATGCAAGGGAGGAAATAAAATATTACAGCTGAGCAGGCAATTGCACTAACACTGTAGAGAAGGGAAGATCATGACAGTCCCCATCCAAAGTCAGCATCTTCCAAACAACTTTCTTTTATGGTGCATCTCTCATCCTGAAAGTGGCTAAGACTGCTGCAGTATTATGTACATAATCATAGTCTTGCTATGATTATGACTTGCCATATATTGTTTAAATCCTGAATATTGCTCTCAGATACTCTTTCATGCTCCACAAAAAAACCTTTAATGTGGGTTCACACCATTACAGGCTGTAGCAGAATGTTCTTTGTTGCCTGAAAATAGCAAAACAGGACGATGAACATCTGTAGAGGCATGTCACCCATATCATTCACACCCAAATAAATTCCATTAATTGTGCAGTTTGTCTACACGTTCACCTTTCTGACCAGCTGTATTATTTTTGATGCTGCATCCAAAGGACTCCAGAATACCACAGTCTTTATAAAAGCAGGTCCATATTACACAGCTGTATTTAGTGAGCAATTTCACAGTTTTTGATTCTGTCTCGCCCTGTGCTCATTTTTCAAGATTCCCTCTGACTGGAAAAGGGATGTACATGGTATCATTGGAGTCAGACCACCAAACCATCCATGGCTCTGTGGCAAAGGRATACTTTGAGCATCCCTACTCGCCAGGGCTTTGATCACAGCCCCTGTCCCTGCAGGAATTAGCTTTCTCTGTTAATCTGGTCAGGCTATGGATCCGTGCAGTGGCACTAGAAAACCATTCCTTGCAGGCATAACCTTTGCAAGCCAAGGTCTCACCTTCTCCAAGATCAGACAGTACAAAATGCCTCAGTGCACTTTCTGCCACGAAGTGAGTAACAAGGCAATAAGTATTTCCCCTTGCACGAGCCTGAGCCCCTTTGGAGATGTGACCTTTTTGTGTATTAATTCCTGCCCTTTAATCTCTCAGTTTGCAGAGCTATTGAACGTGGCACTGTGTCACAATATATAGTKGGGACAGAGAGCATAATCTGTTGTGCCATGATCTTGTGAGTCACTTTGCAGCAGCACAAGAGCGTTTGCCATTTCCACATTAGTCACAGTAGCAGGGATTGCACTCTTCTGCCAAAGCTTCTTAGCCACCCAGAGCCCAGAGCCTCTCTGGTAACCATGTGAGATGTGCAACAACAGCAGAGACCATCTGCACTGGCTTCTGCTGTGTCTCACATCATCAGAATTCTGCTCTCTGATAACAGGTCCTGYCCTACTGAATTGAATTGTGAGGGACTACACAAAATTTTCACTGCAAAGACAAAGCCTCTTTGGTAAGAGGAGGGGAGGGAGAAATGAGAAAATGTGAGACCAAAGGGCAGCAAACAAGAGAGAGAAGGGATTGGCTGTCAAAGAATCAGTGAAATGAGAGAACTGGAAGAAGGAACAAAGCAGAGCTTCCAGAAAAGTGAGGACTGCTCCATATGATATACCCAGAGAGAAGTGGAAATACACCACATAGAATCTTACATCCCCCTTATTCCTCCTGGGTCAAAGGATGTCCAGCTTGACCAGAGCCGGGGATGGGCCAGTGGTATGGCAGCCTTGTGGAGCCTTTGATGGAGAATGCTTCCACCAGTACCGAGTTCTTCAGCTTCCTCACAAAGGGAAGCAGAGGCACAGGCACTCATCTCTTCTCTAGTGACAGTAACAGGAGCAGAGGGAATGGCCTGAGGTTGTGTCAGGGGAGGTTTAGGTTGGACATCAGCAAAAGGTTCTTCACCCCGATGGTGTTTGGGCACTGGAACAGCTCCCCAGGGCTGTGGTCACAGCACCAGCCTGGCAGAGCTCAAGAAGGGCATGGACAATACTCTCAGGCACAGGATGTGACTTTTGGGGTTCTCCTGTGCAGGGTATTGATGAACCTGATGGATCCCTTCCAACTCAGGATATTCTATGATTCCAATTCACTGTATTTGGTCAGGATTTAGGTTGCTGAGGAAACAAAAKCTAAGTCCCCTCAGTTCCCTGTAATACATTTAAAACATGCCACCTCATTTACTATTTTCAGGCACACAGAGGTTCTGTTTCTGCCTGCCCACCATTGCCAGGATTAGCCCCATCTCTCCTCTCCAGACCYAGCACAAGTTTCTCCACCACCACTCCCCTTTGGGCATATCTGGGCTAGTGAGACAACAAYCTCTACAGCCCATTCAGGGTCCAGCCCCCCCTGAGGATGAGCTGTCAGTGCCAATGGGCAGCCAAGCCCTTATGCCCACATTTTTCCAAGACACTACTCAGGCAGTTCTCAGTGTGCCTCACAGGGGAATTCCTCTTCTAAAGCAACTCATGTCTTTATGACTGAACCAAGACCATCAATTCAATTTCCTTGGCCCAACAGAGGCATCAGGCAGCCACCAATCTCACCCACTGCCAGCAGAGACAGCATTCAGCCTCCATCTGTAATTTTTATCATTACCCAGGTGAA